AATTTGATTTTATGTTAATTGAAGTCAGCCCAATAACAATTATTTTGGATATTATTTTAATTTTTGACTTTAAGAAAAAAAAATATGTAGTTGCACTTTGTAGTTATTTAGAAATGTACTTGATTGACAAATTATTGCCAAATCGTAAATGTACAAGTTAAAAGCTTTCTTAAAGTGTGCTTGAACCACATTATTTTGAAAAAATGTATTCTGCAATAATAAATTGATGGAGAATTTATGATTGAAAAAGAAGGAAAAGTTATTGATGTGATAGAAAATATTATTCTATTGAAAAATGTGTGATTGAAAATGAGTAGAATAATGAGAATGAAAATTTTAATGTGTACCAAACAGGGAATTAAGTTTCGATTTTAAAGGGCTAGTTGTAATGGGTTTGTTGGATTTAAACGCGTCATCCCCAACTTCCATTTGGAGTAAGATTTCAAGTCTATTGATGAAACCTCGATAGCTTATTTTTGAAGCCTCGATGAAAATAATACAAATGGATCCTGTGATTTTTGCACCAAAGTCGACATGGGAGAAGAACTGATGATTATCAAGTCATATTGTAATTATCCCGAAGATTTTAAATTTGTAGAGATCTTAACACTTGAAGAGCAAATCCAGACAAATATTATTGATATGCGTATTCACTAAAATTTTGAAGGGTTGCGTTGCTCGAGTGATCTTGCAAAAAGTTGGTTGCAATTAAAAAAAAAAAAAAAAGAGGTTGTATCCAGTAAATTGCATTTTAATTTTTAACCCCATGGACCGCAATACAAAAAGTCTAGATCCGCCCTGCTATACCGTACCTTAAAAAAACTTCGGACCCAACCTATTCAGATTTGATCAAATATGCGCATTGACTCATTGCCCTAATATAATCGGATATGCAAAATGGATCGGCGCGAGTGCAAAAATAGCGTGAGATCTGTACTATGTTTCACGAGTTCTTCCAAAAAATAAATTTTTTTTACTATTTTTTTCTTCGTCTTGGTCTTCGTCGATCTTTAATTCTTCAATCAACGTATAAGAAATTCCAAAGTTGCCTGTCCCACTTTTATTCACATCTTTAATATCAAATGAATGCAACGACGCTGAATAAAAAAAATATAATTTAATTATTATAAATTTGTCATTTCATTGCTGGAAAGCTATATTATACGCACAGTATCCAACAGTTACTTGGGCGATTTCCTACATATATTAAAAGAGTGAGATGTGGATCACTGTAGAAACTAAAAGTGAAGATATCCTACATATATTAAAAGAGTG